TCCCTTAAAATCAATTAGAAAGATTTCTAACTTTTCATTTATAAGGATTTCTAGAAATCTCAGATAAGGTGCAATTCTGATTGGCTGCAACAGTTAAGCCAGCCTATCAAATCATAATGATTTAAATAAATGTAAAGGGCCATTGCCTTATTAACTTATGCTAACAATGTATGTCTTTTTTTTTTTTTAATTTATATCCTACAGTTCTTCGTGCTCAACTGTTGTCAATGGAACAGTCTGGAGAGTGGTGGCAATTCACAGCCACAGTGCTGACTGTATACAGACAGAGGAGGGTGCCCATTCGCCGTGGTGACCAGCCTCTTTGGGTACCAGATCAGGACTTAGCATGTGACTGCCTAAGAATGCAAGTTGGAAAGTCCTACTTAATTATTGGTAATGATGAAGAGTCACCTGATCCAGCTCGTTTAATTTTGGATAAGAATAGTCTGGCACTCCCATGGCGAGATGTTTGGGCACACAAATTGAGACGTTTTCAGCAGCAGAACCGCCGTGGAAAATGCAGAACTGGATAAAAGGGAACTGTTTAGTAATGCAGATATTAAGTGTCAGTTGTCTCAAGAACTAGATCCCATGTAGAATAACAATTTTAAACTGCTTTATGAGCTTACAATCTTCTATGCGTATCACTACCACTGCATCACTGAATATTTTAGCTGTAAGTTCTGGCCAGGACATATATAATTACTAGATAAATAAATATAACATTATATAGATTGTGTAGTTAGACATTGCAGAATAATCTAGATAATGATAAGCAAACTTAAAATGTGTGTTCCAAAATTCACCACTTTATTGCAGTTAGTTTTGTTTTCATACATGATGTCATTTGTGCTTAAGAGTACTTTTATATATTTGTAGAAAAGGTATGATGCTCCCTAGTTGTTTTAAATAAGATTACATCATGTATTGCATAAGTGAATTGTAATTTTTTTCTCCTTCATTTTTAACTGATTAAGAGTAGAGTGATTACATTTCCTCTCTGTCATCTAGGGACACTTTATATGTGTATCAGGCTAAAATCTAATTTCAATTGGGGGTGCCTCAACCATCAGAATTTAATATTGATTTAAAAAGGTTCAAATAGTATTAGCTGCATCTTAAATGTTACCATTTCAAAACCAGTAATACAAATATTTGGTTGAAAGGCTGGGTTGGCAACACTGTGATCATACAAGAAGAATTTGAGCTCCTTTTTGAGCTCAGTTACCTAGTTTTCTTTTTTTTTTTTTTTTTAACTCTTCTTTATTTCCAACAAAGCAATAAAACAAAATGGTCTGTAAGAAAAGTAAAATAAACACTGAAGGAATTATAAATAAAATTATATTAAATCATATATTTGTTTAAATATTGTTCATTAAATGTTTGATTTTTAAAATATATGGCATATTGGTTTGTTAGTTGATTATCTATGCCACACTTCTTTTTAACCAACTTTCAGCCTTCCAGTAGTGAATCTAAGTGTGTATTCAATTTTCTCACAGAGATTATTTGGGGATCTGTGCTCCCAAACCACAAGATAGAACTTAAATCCTTTATTCCGCAGATCTCACTTTCTAAATGATACCAGCCTTCATTTTTAGCACTGTCTAACTGAGTTTTATATATATATATATATATATATATATCTATATATATATAGATATATATATATATGGAAGATCAGATTTGCGAGGTATATGCTCATAATACTTGGAAAACCGAAAAATACATCTCTGATGATCTTGGTCTTTTGCCCTTCCAGATGTAATTATTAACTCTGTTTTGGATTATTTCTAGCCAAGGCCTAGCTATTTTTAAGGGGAGCTTTTGAAATCATTAGGCCCATTTAGGAAGGAGGTATGCATTAATCAAATTCATCAAGTGATCTCAACGTGTCATTTTTTTCAGTGAGCTGTTCATTTCCCTGAGACAGCTTAGTAAATTAATCTGCATTACGTTGGACACATCTGTAGTCAGGAAAATACCAAAATACGGAAGGGTGATTTTTGCCCAAGTAAATTTATAGCTATTATTAATAAGATTCCTACTCTCTTTGTCTACATTAATATCCAATACTGTTGATTTACTCTCATTAATTTTATAGTTCGATATGTCACTATTAGATGCTACTTAGGGTCGGTTAGGGTTATAATCAGGTCATCTGCATATAACTTCAGTTTTAGGTCTCTTTGTTTTGTAGCAATGCCTTTTATTAGTTGAAATTAGTATTTCTGATATTAATTGCTTGTATCTCCATAGAACTAAAATACAGGGCTGGAGACAACTGGCAGCCCTTTCTTGTTCCATTGTATAGATTAAACCAGTCGGCACATATATTTGGGCCTATTATCCTCGCTGAAGGTCAAGAATACAAGGACAGGATCGCCCGGTGTATCCATGCCTGCCAATAGTAGTAGTAGTGGATATTTTTTCTTTTGGCGCAATATAAGATATCGATAATGCGTCTGGTGTTGTATGAGGCTATGCGTCCAGGGACAAAACCTACTTGATCTTGATCAATAATGATGTCTAACATTGGTTTTAATTAAGAAAATCTTGACATCTATATTTATAAGTGAAATTGGCCTATAGTTTTCTACTCTGATGGATATTTATGCTGATTTAAAATCGGTAGTATAATGGCTCTAAGCATTTCATTCAGAAAGTGGCCCATTGTCACTATATAGTTAAAGGACCACTATAATGCCAGGAAAACATTAGGTACCCCCCACCCTCAGAGCCCCCCTACCGCTGGGCTGAAGGGGTGAGCCACTTACCTTTCTCCAGCGCTGGTGACCTCTCCTCCCCCTGCCGCTGGCCTGATCCGAATGCTCATGCGCGGCAAGAGCCGCGCACGCATTCAAACCGCCCGTAGGAAAGCATTACTCAATGCTTTCCTATGGACATCCAGCATTTTCTCACGGTGATTTTCACAGTGAGAATCGCGGAAGCACCTCTAGGGGCTGTCAGTGAGACAGTCACTAGAGGCTGGATTAACCCTCAGTGAAACGTAGCAGTTTCTCTGAAACTGCTATGTTTTCAGCTAAAGGGTTAAAACTAGAGGTACCTGGCACCCAGACCACTTCATTGAGATGAAGTGGTCTGGGTGCCTATAGTGGTCCTTTAAAGGTGTCTGCTAAATGAGTGCTGAGTAGTTCTCTAAAAGTTTTGTAAAATAGATTTGAGAATCCATCTGGACATGGTGTCTTTTTAGTTTTTACGTTTTTGATAACCTCCCCCACCTCCCTAGGGCAATTAAGCATGACTTTTTGACTATCAGGGATTACCGGGACCTTAGTGTTATCTAAATACTTGTCTATGTCCTTATTAGTAGCAGAGAGGGCATAATATGCGTTAAAGAAATTGCCTATCGACTTGGGAGTATAGTGTACCGCTCCATCAACCTCTATTCTAGTAATTTTGTTTCGCAGCCTCCTCATTAGCATATTTTCTGCCCGGTTCCTTTACTATAGTTCTTCATTCTTAGTTTCTCCTTGATCTTAGCATTACTATCTAATATTTTTTGGTTAATTTGTTTTTGAATCTTACAGCCATGTTCGTCTTATAAGAATTTGATTTATTATTTTTTGAGGCTTTTGCTAAATCATAGAGCGTTATCATGTCAACTATTTTTTCCTTTTTTAATTGGGTGTTCAAACTTATAAGGTTGCTTCTCATGGTAGTTTTAAAGGCACACCAATTATTAGCATGAGAGGTATCTTTTGGACTATTTTCCTCAAAAAAACATTCAATCTGTTTTTTGAGAGACTCTAATTTTTTTTGTGCAAGTAATCATTCATCCTCAATGGGGCTCTATAGTTGGTATTCCATTGGTCCTTCATGGACCACATTATAATCTATATAGTTATAATTCTGGTTAGTGCTTAGATTCTCAGGCATTTCAGCATCTTAGTCATCTCAATAGACCTATAGTCCATACAAGCTTAAGTGTGGGGAGAAGTTATTAACTCCATACAATCAATATACAGTCCCAAAATGTTTATAGTCATATACATACAAATGGGTGGAATGATGCAGTTCAGGGTAAAAGATGGTATCATGTAGGCAAATGGAGTAACTGTGGAGATAAAATAATATACAAGCACCTAGTGCAACATTGTACAGTATAATATGTGTAAACACAAAATATATGATTCAGTACTCACAAAGGAGGAGCCAATAAGTAATGGCTCAGTTAGAATGCCTGTGGGATGGTTAGAAGGGATCCCACTCCCTTTCTGGATGTAAGTGGTCTTCCAATAGTAATAGAAATGTCCACTCCAATAAAATATTGGGAACTAAATCCTTTTAATGATAGATAATAAAATACAAACATATAAAAGTATAAAATGAAGATAAGAACTTTATACTATAGTAAGTAAAATAAGTTCTTGTAAAGTCCAAAAAAGTTGCAAAACGCGTTTCGCCCAAATCATGGGCTTCCTCAGTTGCTAGTAATATCCATAAAGTAGTGTATATTTATACCTGTCCAGGAGAATGATTCTTTCCGGGTTCGCGCCGTTTTTCATTTCCGGTCGCATATTGATGATGTATTTCCGGTCCGCGGGTTGTTGACTGGGTCGTCGTTGGAACGCATATGCGTTCCACACATTCAACAAACTTTACTCTCTAGTCCATGAACAAAAGTCCATATCTGTGCAGGCTTTATTCTTTCCTTTGTGCCATAGAAAATATGAATATTGATGGGTGTATCAAGTGTGGGGTGAGAAGGAGTGAAAAGACCTCCATACTTTATAAAAGGGAATCTTATCAACTTTGTACAAAACCATTAAAAACTGTCATTTAAAAGTTATGTATGAAATTATATATAAAATTCACACATATATGGATAAAAACCCATAATAAGAACAAAACAAATAATATACAAGAACAACAATAAAAAAATCATATATTTACACTCAGTAATCTATAGCAACTAGGCTTAAAAACTCTTGTGATCCTAGAGAAAAAAAAAAAGAGATAAAAAGCATGTTATAAAAAATGGCAAATTTCAAAATCTGAGTTGAGACCATTCGGTATAAGAGTATTAAAATTGAAATGAATGAAATTTATTTTTAATTTTAATACTCTTATACCGAATGGTCTCAACTCAGATTTTGAAATTTGCCATTTTTTATAACATGCTTTTTATCTCCTTTTTTTTTTTTTTCCTCTAGGATCACAAGAGTTTTTAAGCCTAGTTGCTATAGATTACTGAGTGTAAATATATGATTTTTTATTGTTGTTCTTGACTTGAGGCTCCAAAACAAGGACCTATACAACCGTACAAGAATGAGTCCAGACAAAAGTGAGACGAGGTAGATAGCCCATAGTGTGAAAAATGTAGATACGGTTAGGAGATTCTGAGAAAGTACTGGATCCTTCCCCACCCCCCCACTTCTCTTTCATGCCTCCCCACAACCCTCCTACACCACATATTGCTCACTTACTCCCCCTCGGCAAGCACACCATCACCACAAAACATGCGCCACTACCGATGCCGTGAAGGACAAATGTTGACATCATATGTGCCTAAGGATAGCACAACCTTACATAGCCACAAACACGTGGGACACCCATGGCATGGACTAAGACACAAACAGTGCACTTTGCAATAACAGAAATAAGGGCACACACAACCATCCACTACTTGGACTAGGTCGAACACCAACATGCACACTATCCTTACATATCCCAACACATTTTAACAGACCCTTTTAAAAAAAAACCTGGAGCGTGGAATGGGCTCCATCAGTTATCATAGGCCCATGGTGCTTGACTTGGGACTCTGTTTATGTGTCAAGGTTGCCTGTATATTTTAGTGGTTCAAGGTATAGCACTCATACCTCCACATCCCATGCTAGAATTTGATAGCATTGAAGTGACCCAGACTGCGATGTACTTATGCCTGAATTTATGAAAGGATTATGTTATAACATGGTCCCCCCCCCCCATAACCCACCCTTTTTCTTTTCTGTACCACCATCATCTTTATTGAAAATTTTGGGACTGTCATATTGATTGTATGGAGTTAACCTCTCCACACACTTAAGCTTGTATGGACGATAGGTCAATTGAGATGACTAAGAAGCTGAAATGCCTGAGAATCTAAGGACTAACCATAATTATAACTATATAGCTTCCTTGAGAGAGGTATACTGATGGCACTATAATTACACACACATGCAGAGTATTTTTTGTTGTTTTTGTTTTGAAGATCAATTCTTGGGCGTTTGCTCACAGGGACAAAACCTATTTAATCTTGATCAATAATGATGTCTAATGTTGTTTTTAATCTAATTGCTAACATCGCAGAGAAAATTTTGACATCTAAATTTATAAGTGAAATTGGCCTATAGTTTTCTACACTAGATGGATCTTTATTCTGATTGAAAATCGGTAGTATATTGGCTCTAAGCATTTCATTCGGAAAGTAGCCTAATATCACTATATAGTTACAGGTGTCTGCTAAAAGCTAAGTAAAATAGATATGAGAATCCATCTGGACACTGTTTGTTTTTTGTTTTTTTTGTTTTTAAGTTTTTGATAACCTCTCCCAGCTCCTGGGTCTTTATAGGGCAATTAAGCGTGACTTAATCAGGGCTTACTGGGACCTTAGTGTTATCTAAATAGTTTTCTATGTCCTTAACTGTATCCACTGTTAGCGTAACACACCCGATTTAAGGACACTGACTGCTATTCAATCTATAACAGTGAAAAAAGTTTTTTTTTTTAAATGCAAGCTATTGTGACACCAGTGAGTGGTGGCACTGGGCACCGTATCCACTGTTAGCGTAACACACCCGCTTTAAGGACACTGACTGCTATTCAATCTATAACAGTGAAAAAAGTTTTTTGTTTTTAAATCCAAGCTATTATGACACCAGTGAGTGGTGGCACTGGGCACCGTATCCACTGTTAGCGTAACACACCTGCTTTAAGGACACTGACTGCTATTCAATCTATAACAGTGAAAAAAGTTTTTTGTTTTTAAATCCAAGCTATTATGACACCAGTGAGTGGTGGCACTGGGCACCGTATCCACTGTTAGCGTAACACACCCGCTTTAAGGACACTGACTGCTATTCAATCTATAACAGTGAAAAAAGTTTTTTGTTTTTAAATGCAAGCTATTATGACACCAGTGAGCGGTGGCACTGGGCACCGTATCCACTGTTAGCGTAACACACCCGCTTTAAGGACACTGACTGCTATTCAATCTATAACAGTGAAAAAAGTTTTTTGTTTTTAAATGCAAGCTATTGTGACACCAGTGAGTGGTGGCACTGGTCACCGTATCCACTGTTAGCGTAACACACCCGCTGTAAGGACACTGACTGCTATTCAATCTATAACAGTGAAAAAAGTTTTTTGTTTTTAAATCCAAGCTATTATGACACCAGTGAGTGGTGGCACTGGGCACCGTATCCACTGTTAGCGTAACACACCCGCTGTAAGGACACTGACTGCTATTCAATCTATAACAGTGAAAAAAGTTTTTTGTTTTTAAATCGAAGCTATTATGACACCAGTGAGTGGTGGCACTGGGCACCGTATCCCCTGTTAGCGTAACACACCCGCTTTAAGGACACTGACTGCTATTCAATCTATAACAGTGAAAAAAGTTTTTTGTTTTTAAATCCAAGCTATTATGACACCAGTGAGTGGTGGCACTGGGCACCGTATCCACTGTTAGCGTAACACACCCGCTTTAAGGACACTGACTGCTATTCAATCTATAACAGTGAAAAAAGTTTTTTGTTTTTAAATGCAAGCTACTATGACACCAGTGAGTGGTGGCACTGGTCACCGTATCCACTGTTAGCGTAACACACCCGCTTTAAGGACACTGACTGCTATTCAATCTATAACAGTGAAAAAAGTTTTTTGTTTTAAATGCAAGCTATTGTGACACTAGATATAAGTGGTGGCACTGACTGGGGAAATGGGCACAGTATCCACTGTGAGCCTGACACAGAAGCTGGCAGCAGTGGCAGACAACTGACTGCTATTCAATCTATAACAGTGAAAAAAGTTTTTTTTTTAAATGCAAGCTATTGTGACACCAGTGAGTGGTGGCACTGGGCACCGTATCCACTGTTAGCGTAACATGCCCGCTTTAAGGACACTGACTGCTATTCAATCTATAACAGTGAAAAAAGTTTTTTGTTTTTAAATCCAAGCTATTATGACACCAGTGAGTGGTGGCACTGGGCACCGTATCCACTGTTAGCGTAACACACCCGCTTTAAGGACACTGACTGCTATTCAATCTATAACAGTGAAAAAAGTTTTTTTTTTTAAATGCAAGATATTGTGACACCAGTGAGTGGTGGCACTGGGCACCGTATCCACTGTTAGCGTAACACACCCGCTTTAAGGACACTGACTGCTATTCAATCTATAACAGTGAAAAAAGTTTTTTGTTTTTAAATCCAAGCTATTATGACACCAGATATAAGTGGTGGCACTGGGCAACGTATCCACTGTTAGCGTAACACACCCGCTTTAAGGACACTGACTGCTATTCAATCTATAACAGTGAAAAAAGTTTTTTGTTTTTAACTGACTGCTATTCAATCTATAACAGTGAAAAAAGTTTTTTGTTTTTAAATGCAAGCTATTATGACACCAGTGAGTGGTGGCACTGGTCACCGTATCCACTGTTAGCGTAACACACCCGCTTTAAGGACACTGACCGCTATTCAATCTATAACAGTGAAAAAAGTTTTTTGTTTTTAAATGCAAGCTTTGTGTCACCAGATCTAAGTGGTGGCACTGGTCACCGTATCCACTGTTAGCGTAACACACCCCCGCTTTAAGGACACTGACTGCTATTCAATCTATAACAGTTGTGACAGAAAGCAAGGAATTGTGCTGGAAGGAACCTATATACCTCCCCAGATTTTGCAAGGTTCTTACTTTGTGTAATTAGCCCCAGGGAAATGTGTTATGTTCTAATGAATGTTGCACTTTAAATATGTGTATATTTGGGCCCTGGGGTGGAGCACATGGAGAGTAGGGTGGGCCAGTGCTCCACTCCACATTTTGGAAGTTGCTTGGTGAGAAGTCCAGTTCTGGAGTTTGAATCCTAATCTAACTCACCTGAAAAGGATTGTCAATTACCAGTGCTATTAAGTACTCCCCTGCCAAGGAAGAAGGGAGATTGTGTTTGGTTTCTGTGAGTGGAAACAGAGAGCTGAAAACCCTGAAGCAGTAAGGCTGTTTATGTTTATGTTTATGTTTATGTTGGGAAATGGACAAGCCATCCAACCCAGTTAGCTGATTATTTTGTTTAGTTAGTGCTCAGAAGAGCGAGGCTTTTGTTTGATATATTTTTGTTACCTTTATACCTTACTGTGCATTTATTTTGGAACCTCAATAAAAGAGCAAGTCAGTTTACCTCATCCAGCGTGTGAAGTGTCTCTAAAGCCTGAAAAGACTGTGTGTAACACCCCAATCCCAGGACAAGGTACCAAGGGAAAGGAGTACTTTTGTCACACAGTGAAAAAAGTTTTTTGTTTTTAAATCCAAGCTATTGTGACACCAGATCTAAGTGGTGGCACTGGTCACCGTATCCACTGTTAGCGTAACACACCCGCTTTAAGGACACTGACTGCTATTCAATCTATAACAGTGAAAAAAGGTTGTTTTTTTTAAATCCAAGCTATTGTGACACTAGATATAAGTGGTGGCACTGACTGGGGAAATGGGCACAGTATGCACTGTAGAGCCTGACACAAGCTGGCAGCAATTGGCAGACAACTGACTGCTATTCAATCTATAACAGTGAAAAAAGTTTTTTGTTTTTAAATGCAAGCTATTGTGACACCAGATGTGAGTGGTGGCACTGACTGGGGAAATGGGCACAGTATCCACTGTGAGCCTGACACAGAAGCTGGCAGCAGTGGCAGACAACTGACTGCTATTCAATCTATAACAGTGAAAAAAGTTTTTTGTTTTTAAATGCAAGCTATTGTGACACCAGTGAGTGCTGGCACTGGGCACCGTATCCACTGTTAGCGTAACACACCCGCTTTAAGGACACTGACTGCTATTCAATCTATAACAGTGAAAAAAGTTTTTTGTTTTTAAATGCAAGCTATTATGACACCAGTGAGTGGTGGCACTGG